CCTGGCCCCTCAGAGGCTCCCTGGCCCCTCAGAGGCTCCCTGGCCCCTCAGACGCTCCCTGGCCCCTCAGAGGCTCCCTGGCCCCTCAGAGGCTCTAGCCCCAACTTCAGAGCCGCCCATTGCCACAGATACTGAACGCTGGGTTAAAATCCCACACCTTATGCTCTTCCATCTTGTCAGCATTTCCATTTTCTCTTCCTTGTCGCCCCCACATAATGAAGAGAGACAAAACAAGAGTGGCATGTGTACCCCAACATGCCAGTCATCTGTGGTGCCCAGGGGAGGGCAACACACACACACACACACACACACACACACACACACACACACACACACACACACACACGTGTTCCAGAATCCAGGCTCTACAGTGCTAAAACGAACCTGGCTTTGAAACCACAGGGGTCTGGATTCAAGTTCTGACTGTCACTTTGGCTAATGAGCCCTGGGCTAAGGGCTTGATGAGAGTCTGTTTTCTCCTCTGCAAACCACAGGGTTGTTGGTGCTAAAGAACAGCCAGTGGCCTCTGCTGGTCCGTTGGCACCTCCAAAGGCTGCTGTGACTGCTTTGACTCAGTGAGTCGTGAACAGCAAATTCAGGTGGCCAGAGCACAGCTTGAAGGAGGCAAAGGACACAGGGCCAGTCACTGCCATTCTCTTCCACATCCTTGGATGGGCCACGGGCCATGCCCATCCCTCTCTTCGGAGGAGGGCATGCGAGGTACCTCCCCGCACTGTGCTGAAGACAGCTGTCTGGAGGGATGATGATTCCTGGTCTGCAACCATTTCAGAGCTTAACACAAAGCCATATTTCACACTAGAAAAGCAACCTAAATTCTACGCTTGCGGTGGGCGGCTGCCAGCAAGATCTCTCTGCTCATGTATCAATGTTTTGAACCCAGCCACCGAGTCAGGATCCCAGCATGCTGTTCTAGTCTCCCTCCTGGCCCCTCTCGCTACATGTCCCTGCGTTGTGGCTCTTCCTTCCTCCCGGCTCCACGCGTGGAGGGAAGGGAAGAAGTTCTGCGGTGGCGGCATCGGGCGGCTTTCTCCCGCGAAGCTGCCGACAGACATTTTCGGGATGTTTATATTCACCCTCTTTCCCAACAGCCTGGCTCTGTCTTCTTCCCCAAATCAACTGGAGAGGGAAACTCCTCTGGGAGGCCCCGGGATGGGGACAGGGGGAATCGGGGACACAGAGTTGAACCAGGGTGATGAGTAGAGACAGGTAAATTGGAGAACCAGATGCTTAAGTCATATTTCAATGACATTCCCCTCCCCTTCTCCTGTTTCTCTTGTAAGTTGTTCAGGAGGGATGGAGGGAGCTGATAGAGGTACAGTCTATAGCTTCCTCCATTAGGAAGGATGTCTGAGGTGTTGGCCTGGAAAGCTAATGAGTTCATTTGCATATGATTTCCACAGTAGCTCTAAGTTGTCTAGGCTGAGGAGTGGAGGACAGGTTTCTCGCCCCTCTCTCCTCCCTCAGGCCCTTGCAAACTGGTCCTAAGCCTGGAGCTGTGGCCCCTGCCCCGCCCCCGCCCCCAGCACCCTGCCAACAGTCACCGTGCGCCCCCTCTCCCTAGAAACACCATCCCAAAGGTCCTGTCTCAACCTCACAGGCAAGTAGCCCTTCTGCAACCCTTGAAGCCTGGCTACCACGGCTACCACGCTCTCGCCTCCCTCCCTACGCTGGGTTTCTTTTTCTGCTAGTCTCCTGCCTCCCGGTCTCCCAACAACAGCAGCCAATCCCCAGCCTGCGCTAGAGCCACACCATATATGGAGAGGTTGGAAGGAAACCCGAGTAAAGCGGGAGTGAACACACACACACACACACACACACACACACACACACACACA